TCTGGGGGAATGTCTGTTCACTAGAGCTCCCCAAGGGATGACAAGATTGAACGGTCACAAACTCTGCCGCGACCGATTCAGGCTGGACATAAGAAAGAACTTCTTTACTGTCCGAGTCTGCAAGGTTTGGAATAGACTGCCACCGGAGGTGGTTCAAGGACCTACTTTGAACTCCTTCAAGACACACTTGGATGCTTACCTTGCTGGGATCCTATGATCCCTGCTGACTTCCTGCTCATGGGACAGGGGGCTGGACTCGATGATCCTCTGGGGTCCCTTCCAGCCCAAATGTCTATGAAATCTATGAAATCTGCAGCACTGGTAGGGGTTACTATGGGAAATTTTGGGGTAGCTGTAGCCCACCAGCACTGCCCTTCCCCTCCCCCACCTGCTCTGAGTGCAGCCCTGGTCCAGCTCTTCTGCTGGGAAGAGGCTGGTGCGGCCCACGAGCCTACAGCGGGCAGCTTGCCCTTGCCCTGTACTCAAATCCAGGGGGGCACATGCCCCCATTCCTCTCCCGGGGTACACGCAGTGGTGGGGAGCCACCTCTCCCTGTGTCCCCTGGACGAGCCACCTGTGGCTTTGTCCTGCTGCTGGCCTCGACTGGCCCTGCCCCACTCCCTCACTGTGGGGGGCCTCAACCTACCCCGCCTCCCCACCACCCCTTCCGTCCCTCACAGGCTTACCTGCAGGGCACTGCTCCCCAAGCTGCTGGGCTGCATCCCTGTAAATTGGCTATTGCATTGGTATCTGCCAGTATTGCTGGTTAATAATTGGCCATTGGTGCTGGTCAAGAAAATCTTTATCGGTGCACTCCTACCCGTTATGTTTACGTGAACCTGTAGTGATACAAGTGAGCTAGGTCACCCTAGCTTTGACCCTTGAAACAGGGTCAAAGTTCGAGCAGTTTTGATACTAGCTACTATTGCATTGCTATAAAATCATGCAGAGGTAATAGCTGTATTGTTAATAGCTTGTATCTGTATCATTTGATATCCATACAGTTTTTATATTTATCTATCCTCTGATATTCTTAGCATTTATCTAGCACACTGTAAACATTGATTTAACACATCTGTAGTATTCTGATTTGCTCAGGGAATGTCACCATACTTACTGCTACACTTCGGTAAAAAGGAGCCAGATCATCTGCAGCAATTAAAAAATAGAAAGTAAACTATATGAACATAAATGTTCCGAGCAAACCAGAGCTCAGCTCTGTCCCCAAAGCATAGTATGCGTTGTTGTGATTAAATACATTTTACCCTTTGCTTTGACTTACCTTGTTTTGCCCAGTTTAAATAAAAAAGCAAGTTAGTTTAGTGCCATTATTGTAATAATCGTTTAATAACATGGAAAATTGTTATAGACTTCCCTAGCCACAAGGAGGAGGCACACAACCAAATATTTCAAATGGATTCTTCATACTGCATCTAAGGTATGCTCATCCTTAATGTAAATGGCTGCTTTTAACTCCTCCATATTTAATTTGTTTAAATTCTTTTTACAGGTATGGAGAAAAGAGAGCAAGAACTAGAGCAGCTGAGAATGGATTGTAAACACTTCAAAGCCCGTCTGGAAACAGCCCAGGCAGATAGCATGAGGGAGAAGAAGGTACATTTGTTCACAAAACAGGGTTGTATCTATACTTGAATTTTAGTAGGAGGTCCAGGGAAATTAAGTTTACTCTTCCAAGATAAAATCCATTTTCGTTTTATGGATTCTGAACAGCATTAAAAACATCTTGACCGTGTCTTTGTCTAACCAAGTAAATGTTTAATTGTACACAGAAAAGTTCAGCTGTTAATTTTTTTCTTTATAAGGTCATTCTAGAAAAGAAAGGCGCCTATTCTAAGAATACCAGTGTGTAATGTGATTTTAATATTCGTGATTATTCAAAGCTGACCTCTTAAAAGAAAAGCATCTATGCCAAAATCATGCTTTGGTCTGGTTTTCTTTCCCTTTTGCTATTTTGCATATTTCTAAAATAACTTTATTTCTGGTTTTCAAACATAAAATAATAGTTGTACTGCTATAATGAATTAACTATTTCCCAACTAGGTATGAATATATATCATAGTCTAAGTCAGTTGGAGCAAACCTTTCAGTGGACATGTAACAAATTAACCTTCTGCTCTCCCCAGGTGCCACTCCAATCCCCTTCCTCTGCCCAATGTTTTCTGCTTCTTGTCCTGTACTCCTTGCCTGATCTCCTGCTTTGCGGTCTGCTACCTGCTCTATTTGCTGCTCAGCTGCCTGTTCCTATCCTGATCAGTGGTGTGTCACACACACAGGCTGCCAATGCCACAGATTGGCCACGCTTATCTAAGTAAAGGTCAGAGGTCTGTCATGGCTTTTGATACTGTCTCTCACCCCATTCTCATTAGGAAGCTGGGGGACTGTGGCGTAGACACCCATACAGTCCAATGGGTTGCCAACTGGTTAGAGAGTCGCACCCAGAGGGTGG